GCTGGGTGACATCCCCTTTCCTGATATTATTATAGCATTACCTAACTTAGAGTGACCAGTTTCACCTTAACAGGTAATTTTCCACAACCTCTCAGTAGCAAGTCAAAAATATCATTACCTCTAACCCAGGTGCCAAAGGAAAATTCCCTCCTGGCTTTAATTCCAAGGATTGACATTGACCTTGCACCAATTCCTCTCTGATGATGCTTATGGGTGGGAGAGTCTGTGACAAGATTATAGTAGAAGGAAAATGCTACCAGCTGGTCTCTTGAAGAGGGAAAAATTTATTTCTGCTGCCTGGAATTCAGAGCCCACCAGCTCTGAATTCCAGCTGTGTATTGTCTTTGGAACATGATCCACCTTTATGAGCTAACTGGGGACAGCCTTTCCCTTTCTTCTGTCCTCCCAGAGTCCCCCTGTCCTTGTGAGAAGACAACACTGATCTGAGGGCAAGTCTCTTGCACACACCAGCTGCTTGCCTCCACCAGAGGGGCACATTTCTGTCTGCCAGGCATCAGCACACAGCCTCCCCGCTACCTTTGTGTCACCTTCTGCTGCCTGCAGAGAAGAGGCAAAACAACTGCTTTTTTTTCTCAGGGAACTGTGATAGTCCTTTATATAAGCAAAGGAGAAAGGACATTCCTTTTAAACCCACACAAATGTGCAGTGAGTGACAACACTGAGACCAAATCAGATCTGAGGATCCATGAACCCTCACGAACGACGAGTTTCTACAAGTCATCCCCAGCCTTACAGTGCAGATTTACATTTTCTAGCTTAAACAAATGCTTCCACTGAGATAGATGAGACAAGGAGAAATTTTGAGACTGGAGTCAATACACCTCCCCCTCTTCTCTCCTGAATACAGATACATGTTCTGCTCCAGTCCCACACTTCTCCTACAGTGTGTTACAGAAGAACTGGGATTTTGACTAGCTGAGAAAGCAGATGGAGTCTAAATCAAAGCCAGTGAGCATGTGAGTCATTACAGACAGACTGTGAGCTGGGGGAGATGAAGCTGGAACAAAAATGATGCACATGGAAAGGCTTGGGGAGCTTGGAGTAAGACACAAGCTAACCTGGAAAGCTTCTTGAGATTTGTCACCTGACAATACACATGCACACATGTGTGCTCACACATTCACACACGCGTATTTCTCCATTCCTATTGCCTTTAGCTTCTCAGGCTTCCTATGAGAAGCTGGATTTCTCTCTGTGGGGAAACTGAAAGGTGAGTGTAACTGCTGCTTCTTGTAGACACTACTCAAGATCCATTGCAGGTATTGCCTACACCCATGGAACAGAAGCAGCATTCATCTGCACCATTTTCTCACCTGTATTCATACATGAAAAAGCATAGGGAGTCAGGATGGGACAAAAAACATACTGCAAAGATGGTCTGCAAAGGCTGAAGTTATTTCCACTTCCATTTTACCAATAAAATCTTCACTGAGCTGATGCCAAGTACTTTAATAGGTGTAAAATGTGTAGTAAACTGACACTTGTCAAGGGAACTCGCTCTCCCTAGTAAACACTGCTGTCTCGTTAAACTGAGACAGCACCCAATATATAACAGTATGAGAAGAACACCACAATGAAATATCTCCATCAGAGCAGAAAATCTGGGGTAAACACCACCATCAAAAACAACTAAAGAAAAACTAAATAAAATCCTTTGACCTTGTATCTTCAAAATAAGTGCAATCTTAATTTCAACTAATTGTCAGTTCACTGAAGTAAATGAAGGCGAGAAGTTATGTCTTAAATTTTAATCTAGCAAAAAATAGAACTCTCACATGGCATTCAAAGGTGAAAGCAGAAGATTTGTTTTTAAATGCATCAATATAAAGAATTAAAAAAATAGGGGAGACTTAAGGTTGGTAGATAAGAGGTAGGGCTTTGGGTAGCTATGACAAGGCTAAGAGACGTAGTCATGAGTCGGATGAAGGAGAAAACACATGGAGATGCACTATTGGACAATAAGAAAAATTTGCCTGAACAATGTAACTTTTTTGGTTGGCAAATTACTTGAGACTAAGAAAAATTCTAGTTTGCTAAGCCTAAGGATAAAACCACATAGTACAAGCAGAAATAGAGAGACAGGTAGAGTCCATGAAAATAACTTCCCTCTTCTTCCCAGTTATACAAACACTGTATAGAAGTGTGTGTTTTGTGGCCAAAGAGTACAAGACAGGGCAATAACTAGCTGAGCAAGTAAAGATTCCTCTTTGCCAAATTAGTCCAACCCCAGGAAGGGTATAATGAAAAACACACTATTAAAAATATGGTCGCAGCAAGAATTAAGTTATTCATGGTCACATAAGCACATATCTAGGCACAGCTCTCATAAAAATTTAATAAACACTGGAGACCAATAATCAATATTTCCACCTAAAAGCCATGCCTGAGCATTAGTATTCTCAGAGAAAAATATTTTATACCTTAAGCCACATGATGCAAAACTTTTTAAGGCTTTATTTGTGAGAGGCAAGCTTAAGTTGGTCCTGATCAAAAGCCGCAGGCTGTTCTGTGTCTCTCCCCCTGCCACTGGACAGACAACTCTGTGCATGTGTACTCACACACACTCAAACATCACCTCCTTCAAATCACAGCTGTGCAATAGCAGAAAGCTCTGCAATTCAGTTGCCTGTGCCCTGAACCAAATCTCCCCTTCACTCAGCTTGCTGGAAGTCACTAAGTCGCGGTGCAGCCTCATGGAGAGACAAGCAACTAAAGACACTGCTGGGGCCACTGCTGGGATTAGTGTGAAAGCTACCTGAAGCCAGTCTCAGCCAAACCTATTACTAGTTCAAGCACTGGCCTTTCAAATGAGCATTTGTTCACATCCCAGCTGTTTTGGCGTGCTGCTTGTGCAAACATTTTCTGTTCCACAGTAAAACCATTTACTGAAACATATTCAGCCAACTTGAAGGATTGCACCTGATATAGAAGACAATGTATGCTGAGGAAAAGTCCTGTAGCAAATTTATAAAGAAAACAGAATGTAGAGAAATGAAAATGTGAATTGCCTGCTTTACATGAACAACAACCCAAACACTGCTAATATCTGACTATTTACTGGATAGCTACTAAGTCTGAAGAACAGAAGGTAAAAATACAAGACATACTGAGATATATTCAAAAATTAAGTCACACGAACTCAAATTAGAAGCTTTTCAGTTTTTCCACACAGAAACAAATGCAAAAGACAGTAATGGAAGATTTATGAGGAATGCATTTGCAAAAAAAAAACCAAAAAATCTGCTTTTTTTTCTCCCCCTCAAACTTCTACAGTGCACTTAAGCAAATGGGCTGTGAAAAGAAATGGGAGCTGAGATGGTTGGATTATGACCAAACATGTCACAGAATCTTATGCTTAAATCAAATTTGCAATTTCTCTGGCACAGAAGATATGAACTGTTTGAGGAACTGTGTAGAAAATACCCTTGCAGCTGGCATAGTGCAGATCCAGTGAGGTGTGCAGCAAAAATGCTCTTATGCCCTTTTTATTTACTGTTTTCATAAACGACTTAGAAGTAAGATAGGAGAAATTGTAAAACAGTAACATGAGAGAAACATATGGTAGGTTTGCCATCTAGTCTAAACAGAGAAATAAGCAGAAAGTGGAAATCAGAGCCTGAGGCAGACACCATAGAATAAGATTCATGTTGGGGCTAAGCAGCTAAATCCAGAGGAGACAAACCTAACTGAGGGATATGTCTAGCCTAGTATGATGGTAAAAGAGTTCTTTTAGGTGAAGCACTCAGCAGCTGGACATCATCTTCATAGCATAATGTGAAATTAAGAAAAAAAGACATTGCAGAGATACGACTTTCAGGCCCAGAAAAATCCTATTTTCCCAAGGACTTAAACAAATGTGGAACAACTGATTTCATCTGGCACATGTTTAAAAAAACCCAGTAGTGACAATTTAAAGGCCATCTGGAAAAAACCCCAAAAGACAGAAAACCCTCCACAAAACCAGGAGAGAGTACTGTGGGACTTACAAGGATTGACAAAAAAATAAAAAAAACCCTGAAGAAGTTAAGTGTGTCTTATGCAAGTCAAAATTAATTATATGCACATAATTATGCAGATATACATACCGAGTGGTGGGTGGCAATCTATTCAAGTAGCAAAAGCAGGTAAACTGGAAAGAAGCAAATTAACTTCAAATAGAATACAGAAAGCAATGATCACCTAAATAGTCCTGATTGTGAAATATGCTATGCCTTAAGCACGGCAAAGGGACACTGCCTAGCCCCTGGAAGAACCAGTAGAAAAGCACAAGTATCTTGACAAGGAAATATATATCTTTTATGACTAGAATTTAAAAGTCTCATATGGCAAACAAATAGCTACTGGATCTGGCCTAATGTCCTAGATCAGAAGCAGATGATACAACAGTGTTGGAAGTGCAGAGATGTTCCTTTCCCTCTGGGTCAACTAATTCCCCAATCTGCTAAGAGAACACCAAGCTGAGAAGCACTGATTTAAAACTGAAATGTGAACTCAGAGTTGTGCTACCCAAAGTCAGTGCCTAAGCATCAAACTCCTCTTTGTGTCCAGTCCTAACCTGCTGCTGTGAAACTTGTCCAACTCTGTGCCAGATGTGTCTGCATGTCACCAATATCGGGACAAAACTTACATGTATCCAGTGTAACAGGAAAACTCACTCTATGCTAAACTAGAGGATTCTGTTGATGTGATGCTATCTATCCTCAAATCTGCCACAATGGCCTGGGATTCGTGTCATGGTAGTCACAGACACACATTAGATTTTAGCTCTGTATACTCAAACATTCTTATCTTCTTAATTAGAAAGAGCGTATCAGATATTTCCTACTCTGGAATGCTTCTCCAAGCCACCACGGATCCTTTTCAACATGGTCCATCCGACTATGGAAACCCACCCCCTCTTCCTAGGATCCTCCTTCCTGAGACGCAACTCCCCTGGAATCAGTCCCACAGAAATAAAACACTTCCACCAGCCAGGATGCCAAGACCACATTCTGTTTAATAACAACTCCATAAAGGACTGTACATGCTATTTTGAGCTACCTCCCCTCCTTTACTGTGGTTACTGCCACATACAGGCATGGAGGTGTGTAGTGCCATATAAATTTCTAAGTCTATATGTAGTGTGTGCACATGTATGCATGTGGTTGTACATGTATGTATTTATATATATCTTTGTAGAAGTGTTATCTCATAAGTCACATTATCAAAACATGCGAAGTATATCCAACAAAAATTTTCAGGCAAACATGTTTTGGAGCTGGAAGACCAAAGGCAAATCAGACTCATTTTAGTTATTAAGGGCTAGGGTGGGACAAGGTAAGGATGAAAGCTTTCAATAGCGGGTCCCTTTCCCTTGTTTTACTTCAATTCAGTACTTTCTTCCCAAACACCTCTGTAAACACTAGCTTGAAAGAATAAATATAATCACCATGCAGCCTCCCCGCTACACAAAGTGTACAGGCTTGGGGGAAGCTCTTTAAAATTGCTTTGCAGCAACCTCCATTGTCCCATACACTTATGCTAAAGTAGTTTCAGATACTGAGAATATAACATTTAAAGACCCAAGCCTTTAGTTATTTTTATACATGCTTCAGGAATCCATTCTGCATGCCACCCCTGAGACTCTCATCCACCACCCTTGTACCTCCCAAAACCTCAGTCTTTACCCACCTATATCTAAAAAAGAGCCGAAACAAGAGAAATCCTGTTCCTCATTAAATTATTTTGAGTCCCAATTTTATAATGTAGGGATTCCCAGAGACCTCCAATCATGCACAACATCCACAAATTAGAGAAGAAAAATTAAAGCCAAACAAGAATATATACCTGCAAAAGAGCTTTTGGCTTGCTACATTGCTCAAGCATGCAGTATCTGAAAGGAAGGGAAATCCACTTGTACTTGCCTCATGGGAACTTGGCAGGGCTCTCTGGAAGAGGGTTCTTAACCTTTTGGCCTCCAACTCATGACCAGATTTCCATGCCCAATGAAAATGAACCCAGAAGGCCAATGAATCTGGACTAGATGCCTGTATCTTATTAGAAGCAAATCTTCATGCATGATCTTGTCTACATAATGGAGAAAAGCCTTTATTGTCTTGCTAGCATGGACATTTGATCCATTATGGGAAAGCAAAAACAAGACTAGGTTTCAGAGGGCATTTAAAATGTCCCCAGTCAAAGGAGATGAGGAAGATCCACAGAACACTGTAATCTCTCTCTTCCTAGAAGACAGCAGTTACTACTTATCAATAGGTAAGTACTGCCCATGGCAGAGGGGTTGGACTAGACGACCTTTAAGGTCCCTTCCAACCCAAACCATTCTGTGATTCTATAGTATCTGCACTGAGAACAGTCTTGAACAAGTCTTTACAGTTTTAGTAAACATAATCTTTCTCGGACCAAATTTTTCCTCTTCCAACAACGAGTATCTGCACTGGAAAAATATATCACATATTTATTCTCTTTTGTGCAGACCAACACTGACAATCACAGAGCTTCTCTTCATTTCCAAGGAAAAGATAACACTTTGATCTGCCTATGCTGGGGAACAATGCCAGTGCAAGGATGTAAATAGACCCTAATGTTCCAAGTGCAAATCGTCCATGTCCATTTGTTAACACAATAACCATTTGTCTTCATGCCTACACCTGTCAATTCATGGAGCTGGTTGTGCTGCTGAAAGAGTGTAGTGTCTCCAGGTTCCATGACAAACTCTGAGAGAAAGAGAGACATTGATCCGGCACACAAGTCCAGCTCTTCTGCTCCTGCGCTACTTAGCCTGGGAAAAGCCTATGATACAAAAGAGGCACCTGACATTGACTTTACAGCTTGCAATCATATTTGAGACTGTGCTTTAATGACTGTAGTCTGTCCTACACATATGTTTAGTTCTAATAGGCACTATTTTACTCACATTTCCCCTGTTTATTTTTCCTTTCCCTGAGCCATGGCATAGAAATCTTTCCCTGTCAGATTGCTACAGGGGAGGAAAATCAAAGATGAAACTGTTACTTAGTTACATTTTTCTAGATGTAAGGGCACCAGCTTTTTCCCCCTCTTTTTTCTTTTTCTTTTAGAAAAAGTCAAAAAGTTAATTTAGAAGACATGCCAGAGTTGTCTGAACAAGAAACACTGGAAATTCCACCTGGGAGAAATCAGAAGGAAGAGCTTAGACTACGTCAATGTTGCTCTGCTTTCTATAGCATTTAGAGGTGGATTTATTTGAGTTTCTCCTTCCAGACAATTATCAATACATCAGTTAAGGCAAACTGAGCTGAATTTAGGTATTTTAAGTTTCCAATGAGAACAAAACTCACATTAACTTCATCTGGACAAGGAGTAAGTTCTTACTTGGTGTATTTCTCATAAGATTTCCCTGAAGAACTAAGCATGTTGAGAATGGTTTTTCAAAGATAATGAAAAGAAGCTAGCAGGTACCCTTTCCTATCACTTTGTCTTACAGAAAAAACAGTGTGGCTTGGACTAAGGAGTACTATAAGCTGCAACAATCCTGGATTTACAGCTTGTGCAGCAAGTCTGCCATGAAGCTTCCTACCCGAATTGTGTAAACAAAAGACATTTAGCTTTTCTTGACCTTTTTCCCGAGCCTTTCTCTCGATGTCTTTCCCTCTCTAGCTAGACTTCTCCTTGCCCTTGCACAGAGCACACACAGATGTCCACAAGCCTGTACTGTTGCACACTACCTTGCCTCACCACCATACCTCATACCTCTGTCCAACTAAGAGAACAATTTCCTCTCTCTGGTTCTCCTCTCTGGGGCTACAACTAACATTTTTTCATTGTTGCTGTACACAGTACAGCACACACAGACTCTGTGTAGGTGAGAAGTGCTCTTCTGGATCTCACACTAGATTGGAACTGGCTTAAAGACAGGAATAAGCCTCCCTTGCTCCAGCTGTGCTTCACTCTTGCACAAGGCTCTCCTCTTGCAATTACAGGATAAGACTTATCAGTACCTTTAGCTGCCATGGAGTTTAATCACTGAGTGCATATAAGATTTATGCATGTTAATTTTATTAATTCCATGCATCTATCAAGTTACTCCTGTCCTCCTGTCCCTTGCAAGGGTTTATCTCAAAGGAGCCTTTGGAAAGGAAGGGAATAGTGAGGGAAATAACAGAGCATAAATAACAACAAACACCAAATCAAGAGCATACTAGAAATTCCAAGAAAAACACTATGGGAGAGAAAGGGAAATATGTCCTTCATGGTGCCCCAGCTGGGCTTATTCTTTTCAGACAGGTACTTCACAATTGGCTTAAGCCAATTTAAGTTGCATTGGCAACCAGTCTTCCACATGACCATCTGCACATTTTACCAGCCCTCAGTGATGCTTGCCTCACCAAGTGAAGTGATATGAAGAGTTCATCCCACTGAAACCCTTATTTTGATAGGGGACTGGGTTAGTTTTCAATGGGACCAGTTCCTGAGCAGGCAAATGAGTGCTAGCGCTGGTGCTTTTTAGGCAGTAGAAGTACACAGCTGGTGCTGGCGGAAAGGAGGAGGCATGACAGCTCCTTCGAGCAGCTTAGATTCATCATGAAGATGCCACTTCAAAGTGCACTTTCCCTGTTTCCCTAACCTGATATAAAGGAAAGCCAGCTGCTGTGAATAGCACTATCTCCCCCTCTGCTTACAGCTGTTCCCTCTTCACTTTTATAGTAGGGTAAAAGTGCATGGTTTGCTGTGGGTCAACTGTGCATCAGCATCAGCACAAGGGTTGTGGGAGGTGAGCACAGCCAGGGCAAAGGGCTGCCTTCCTTCACAGCAGCTGACCATTGGATCAGCTTAGAAGCATGGTTAAACTGTTCTTTGCTGCAAGACTGTCGCTAAAGGTGACATTAAAGTTTTTAAGGGGGAAAGCAAGTGGGTGACTTGTCAGCAGCTTTCCAGAAGAAGGTGATGGTAATTTAGAGGCACAGAAACTGAAAGGAGCAGACTGACTTCTCCATCCCAGAGTCTGAGGTAATGGAGTTGAAGAGAACTCAGAAGGCTTATAAAGAAAGCTTCAGATTTATAAAAAAACCCCAACAACTTATGAAATAGTGTAATCAGATATGAGCAATCATGGGAAAAGGAACAAGAGAGAATTTTCTTGCAGTGGAAGCTTTTAAATTAGGGTCACTTGTGTTTAAGCTTTCTTTGTGTTTAGCATAATAATTTCAACAAGTTACTATTGAAGACAAAGGCTTGGGGAAAAGATGAGAATCTTCTACCTCCACTGCTTCAAGAATATCCAAATTTTTCTGTAGTGCAGCTCTGCTTTACAAAAGGTTTGTGGAAACAAACAGCAGGCTCAGTTTCTTAGTAACTGCAGATCAAGAATATTGAGCTTACCTTTCGTCTTATTTTCAGCCTCACAAATACAATTTGGGCTCTGACTATTTGGCTGGACTCTCTCCAACTCATCCCTCCTCACCAGGATAAAGGATTGCAGGCCAAATTTCACTCACAGAGCACCTGTGCCTCCCATATGCTTGAATAGGTGTATCTACATAATAACAGCTTTTCTGGGAAACGTACACTAGGTTCCAGGTCTCTCTCTAATATTGGATACACACAACCAGCAGGCCTGTTACATAAGAAAAGGTTATACAAACAATTTTCCACTTTCAAAGAGATTCAAACTGCCTTTCCAGTTCAGCTCGGGATGCTCACGCAGGTGACAAGTGTAGATAGGCAGATCTGCTCTCTCTGGTCAAGCTCCTAGCAAATACAGATACATTTCTCTTTTGGATTGTGGAGAGGTCACGGAAAATAGCCTTTTTCTTTCTTTCAGGAAAAGGCTGAAATTTTATTATTCACAGAAAGTCAAGACCTTTATGAAAAAAAAAATTAGTAAGTTTGGAAGTTTTTACAGAGAGTAGTGTTCAAACCAGTCTGTATTCACAGAGAATGAGGCTATCTACAGGTTTCTAGAGATCAGGTTATGGAATTATACAGTAGGGTATAATTCTCTATCCCATTCCACAGAGGTTAATTTTTTTCACACTTCTTCCCATGTAGATAATTCCTTGTCACTGTCTTCCACGGAGATAATGTACATCTTTTAGACATGAGTCACACATCTTAGTAAATGTACCACATGTCCATATTAAAGAAAAAGAAGGCCTGGACAAGCTGACCCACTTGTCCCAGTCCTGTAAACAACACAGAGGGATCATTAGAAGCTACTCTAAAGTCACCGTAAACATCCAGATTGCTCCTGGAGAGGCACATGGGAACAAAATGGTTTGGAGAGGAAAACAAGAAGCCACCCAAATCTCCCAGAAAGAAACATACCCAACAAATGTTTGTTTCCCTGAAGGATTTTTAAAAAAGAAATAAGAAAAGGTTAACACTCATTTGTCATCTGCTGATGTGCTCTTGGCACTTGCCCCATCTCCCTTTTCTGTCTAGCGTGATTTCCTAGGTCCCGCTCTAAGGCTAGACCCAAACCAGTTCAGGACAATGAGCTAGCACTGGCCCTGCAAGAATTATAGAAGATCATATTTATCAAACCCTCCTGCCCAGGGGAGGTTAGCACCTGAATGTGTAAACATCTTTGAAGAGATATTGAAAGGTCATCATTCAGGAGAAGAGCTACCTCCTTAGAGAGATGTAAGCAAGACCAAACAAATGAGTAAAAAAAGATGATCACAAAAACTTTTCCCTCTTACCTACACCAAATTACCAATCTTACTTAAATATCCCAAAGGTCTTTCCTTTAGAGATGCAGGAGAGGGAAGACAGATCCGCTTGAAGTGGACTTTGCTGGAACGACTTAGTTATTGAAAGAGGAGTCCCTCTTCATGCAGCTGCCAGTGTAAGTGGGAGAAAGCTGAGTGGGGTAAAGTTCTACCTGAGAGCCCCATTCCTACTTTTCGTAATTCCTGGATGTCACCTGCTTTGCTTGCCAGGAGCTGTCTGAACTCTGAGACTTGATGGTATTACTTCAGTCACAATTTATTCTCCTTAGACATTCTTCCCTGCAAATCTGAAGCAGGGAAGGAGCATGCATCACTCTCCTGTCATCCAAAAAACACAACAAGCCTGAAGAAGAGGCAAAGAAAAAACAAATGTATCATGAATTAAACAGAGCAGATATGAGTCAGAGTAAGTGAGAAAGAGTTGCCCCTGGAACAGTATGGCAGTGCCCAGGCAAATTCATTTCTCTAGCTCATCAGATTTAGCATCTGATTTACACCCATGCTTTGCCGATGCTTTTTTGCAAGATGTCTTGCAATTAAAACTCAGCATTTGGGTAATCTCTGCTGGTTCTGTTCAGTTCTTCAGCAAAATCAATAACCTTGTACAATTTTTGCTTTTGTCTCTGGTTTTTTTTTTCTGGCGAGAGCTCAAAAGGAGACAATTTCCTTTCAAAACCTCTTCCTCCCAAAAGGAGGTCTGTAGAAACATGGCGAGGAATTGCAAGAGACCAAATTCCCCTAGTCAATGAACCACGTTTTTTTAACAAAAAATGTAGAACCCGTAAAAATAGGGAAAACTCCTGAAATCAGCTTTCTCCACACCTAAAAAAGAGATGGGAGGGAAAAACAAACAGACCAAATACTGAGGATTATTGATACTGCTTGGGCGTGGGAAAACAAAAGAAAACATAGGCAGGAAGAAGACAAATAGGAGGAGAAAACTTCCTCTCACCGCTTTTCCTCCAGCTACATTTGGCACTGTAGAAGGAGTGGCAGAAATGGGAAGTGAACAGTATTTCTGTTAAGTCATGACTGGAGTACAGGCCTTTCCTATTATTAACTGCTCTGTTATTAACACTTATCCAGCAATATAAAAAGGTTAAAAAAAAAAAGCAAAAGCTGAAAACTCTAATGTAAACTGGGTATCTGTGATCTCATAGCTGTACACGCTGTTCCTGGATCTGTTGCCTACTCTCTGGGTCTCCCCATACCACTGGCAAGGGAGAATACAGAAAGATGCAGCAGCAGCACCAAGATGGACATGTTCTCAAGCCTCCTGCAAGAGTCAGCTTTTTATTACTATCTCCGAGGCTGAAAATGTCCTTTCCACTGCCTTCCAGTGCCCAATACCAAAAGGACACACCGCTCTTGCCAGCTCCTGGGAAGGCAGAAATGTCAAATAAAGAAACAAATAAATGAAAGAAACCAAAACATGAATATCTGAGAACAGGGTTAGATTCACATCTGCATCCATTCCCCCATGCCACAGCAGAGCCTGGCCCACAGAGCCACACCATCTGTACAGCAGCATAGCCCGTGCCCACAGAGCACAGTTTGTATCCATGAAACCTACCATTTTGTATCAAGGTGCTATTGAGGATCTGGTTACACAGCAAACTTTCATTTCAGTACAATATGTATCGAATACAGCCTTATAGTCTGTATTGGTCACAATCACACAATACTAGTGCAATCTATATTTGCAAAGCCAAATCTTCATTTTAAACCAGTTTATATTCACATATTCCATCAAAGGGGACCATGTGCACAGAACACCATCCATTCTGCCAAGATGAATTCTAGCCACATAGTCGCTCCCTATACCCAGTCTGCCTCATCAGCCATATCCCCTGTACCAGAAGAATTTGTATCAAGAGCCAAGACTTTGTATTAAAAAGATTTAGAAATTATTTACCAATCCAGACCTCTACAAGCACCTCACATGTTGCCCAGAGCAATGAAAATCCAAAATATATGTCCATGGGGGAGGGGAGAAGAGGTTTTTATATGTCAATCACTTTGAGATTTTCCTCTTGTTTAAAAAAATAATTAAATGTCAAGAATGGAAGGTGTGCCTCCTCAGAAATATGGGGAGCTGGAGAGAAGAATCCCTGTAATTTCATTCCTTGCCACCCCTCTCTTTGTTCAGCAGTGATGAGAACTTCACAGAAAGCATCAGTTATTTGTTTCTCCCTCTTCCTCATCAAAGGACTGCACCCCAGAGGAGGTGACATCTGAGACTTTGCGGCTCAGTGCAGCATGTTCCATCTCCTCTCGAGGAGATAGAGATTCCAGGTCCCGGCACACTGCATCATCCTCCTCTGGAGAGGGCTTCTTGTTCAGGAGAGGAGCCTTCTCCAGCCGTGGGTTCCCTTCATCCTCAATGTGGTCCTCCATGTATGTGCTGGACTCAGCTCCACCCCCACTCTGAGCAGTCTGCAGGGGCCACACGTGGACCAGCCCCGTGCTCTGGATGAAGTTCTGCTCCTGCCGCTGTTGCTGCAGCTGTTGCTGCTGGAGAAAGCTGCTCTGAAGCAAAATGCTTTCCTGAAGGTTTGTCTGGGACTCATCAAAATTCTGGCCTAAGTAGGAGCCAGTTGCTGGGGAAGCGATGAGGGACTGGTCACTGGCCTCCCAGGCATCAGATGAACCTAAGCAATACATGCCCTGTGAGACGTAGGAATGAGGCCAGCTATCATACTGCGTCTGGGCCATATGCTCTGCAAGTAAAGGAGGGAAACAACACACAGTTAGACACTCTCTCTAGGCCAAGCTGGCTCATTCAGGTAGTCTGTGTGCCTGTGCATGGCACTGCACTGTACATGGTAAATGAATCCGTTAGAGGGAAGGAGGGCGAAGGGAAAACACAGTTCTAGGCAGTAGGCAGAAAACCTTGATTATATCCACAATTGACTGCAACGGTTGGTAGCTTTCCACAGTTGTGCCCCAAAAAAGGCAAAAGGAACTGGACTTTGGAGCCTCCCTGTTATAATTAGATTCCTTGAACAGCTCCACAAATAGGGATGACTCTACTAGTCACACCCCCAAAGATTGAGGCTGCAGAATAAAACAGGGTAAAGGGAAAGACAGCAACGTGAAAATAAGAGGAGGAAACGGAAGTTTTAAGATTAGCAAGAAGCACTGGAGCTCACCTTGGCTCTCCATCAGCTCCTGATAGTTCTCAGAGTAGTTGCTTGCTGGGTTGTCCTGATTTGAGTTTACACTCACATCCTCACCATCCATGGAGGACCAGGCCATGAGAGTTGCTTCAGAAATAGCAAACTGCTCCATCACTCCTGTGCCAAAGGAAACAGGAAGGGTAAATAGGGATGTGTGAAGGTCTCCATTTCTCATCACCCTCCTTAACCTCATCCTTGGTCACACTGTCCCATTCTTGTCCTATCTCAGCAACACCCATCACCCACAATGGGCCCTGACCCTCTCACATTTGCATTCCATTGGCAATCCTTCAAACACCAAGTATCTCTGTTTTGGCCATCTGAATCACCCACAACCTCTCCTACGTGGTCTCTCGGGGATTCTGCTCTGAGTCATCTCAACCAGTCCAATCCACATGCCAGAAAGTCAGTGCTACCTGCAAGGAACCGGGCCTCCTTCTCCCCATCACTCAGGTCTGAGTAGGCGTCGGCGTCTTTGCGCGCTGTCTCGTGCGTGTGCTGCTGCTGCTGGCTGTTGGCTTTGCCCCAGCCTTGCCACTCAATCATGTGAGCCACACGGCCTTGGCCCATTGCTGTTGGCTTTGTGACATGGTCCTTCATGCTGCGAGATATCCCTAAGGGGCCAGACATTAGAAAACAAGGAAGGGCTATTACACAGTTCCATGGTTGTCTGCCATGCTGTTTACCTCTCTTAGAAGTGGAGCTTCTCCCCTCCTTTCCTGACAGGATTCATGCCTGCGGCTGGGTGTCTCCCAGTTTCCCTGTATCACTCTCCAGGAGAGTTTCTCCATGTTTCCTTGGACTAGCTCTCAGAAGGGGGAAAAAGGGAAACCCAAAATCTGAAAGACCATTTCCTTCCTTGCCTAGAATCCATTTAGGATAGAGTTGGGCATGAAGGATGAAGCCTGGAAGTGAACAAACTAAGAAACAGAAAATGGGGTTAAACTCAAGACTGTTTGAGGGGAAGCAACTGAAGATGTCTGAGTGGGGGTGCACGGTGAGAAGTCAACAGGAGTAAGACAAATCTGTTCTTTGAAAGGGCAATAATAATGAGATCTCTGTATTTAGAACCATGGTGGTGGAGACTCCTCTAAGGCCTTGAAAAGGCGAGAGTCAGAAAGGAGCAGGTGTGAGAGCAACAAAGAGATATGGGAAGAGGCACAAAGGCCTGTGGAGAGAAGCTGCCAAGGATAAACTCAAATTCTGAGGACCTCACCAGAGAAAGATGATTTAGCCAAAGCCCCAATCCCATAAGCATTGGAGTTGCGTTTCAGCTTGGGGAGGATGGAGGTCGTATCTTCCATGGAGAGCTGAAAAGAGAGAGAATATGAAGAAATGATATACAGGAAGGAGAAAAGGAAGTGAATTGGAGTGAGAAATCAGTAGGTAGTTGGAAGATGAGGAGCAGAAGCAAGCAATAGGAACAAAAGAAGGAAAGGAAAAATTAGAGGCTATTTAACCAGGACTGGGTATTGCATAGCACTGGGACTGAGTGAGGCAAGGTCAGAGGAGAGGCAGAACCAGGCTGTGAGAAGCCTCCCTTTGCTGCTGCCAGTCCTTCATAGACATGCAGCACCGTTCCCAACTCTTTGTTAGAGATCCAAGACATGGCTGATGAACAATTCAGGGAACTTCCAATGGGGAGCTGTCAGTGCAAATGGCAAAGCACAGTAATTAATGTATCATATATTCATCATACTAAAGTTAATAATTTTTATATGTCACTTTGGGGGTTTTTATTCTTCTCATATGGTCTTAATAAAATGAACATGACTGTATCAGTGATGTGTCCTGTTTCAAGCACCTACAACTACCTGTATATAAACATGGTATATACGGCTCTGCTAATTTTCTTTATTGTCTTCTCTATGTTCATCCAAAGTCCCAGAATAACAAGGACAGGACACTACTGGGACAGTCAGCAGTCACAAACATCATCATGAAAATAATCTCCCAAGATGAATTCATCAGGCTTCTTCAGAGATGCCACGCATTTCATCTGAGGCTTAATTTTCACAAGGGCTAAACAAGCATTGCTTCTGCTCTTCATTTCAACCTCACTGAAAATCAAGGCCAGAATGTTTGAAACACAACAATACTCAAAAATAGTGACCATGATGCCGGAAATTTTAAATCCTGACACAAAACAAGCATTTGGTCACAGGCACAGACCTCACAAAAAGTGAGTGGAGCAATAACTGGGCAATGAAATAGTTGGAGGCAAAGAAAGGCATTTTAAAGATGTTGAACTGCATATAATTCCAGTCAATTGCTGAATTATGAGAGATGAGTTTTTCTGGAAACTGAGCATAAAGGCAGCAGCTCAGGCATCCTGTAACTTTGGAGCCAGGAATGTCTGTGTGTAACACGAGCTGAAGAAATCACAAAGCAGAGGAAGAACAGTAAAAAGTGAGAACACATCCCTTGTTCCATGATGCATTTCCTTAGGTGATGAAGCTTGTTGGAGAAAGTCCATCTATGCCCCCACTGGTCATTCCTGCCTGGGCACTGCTGTTCAGTATCCACCCACTTGTTCCATGACAGCCTGCGGGCTGGGCCATGAGCTGCCTCATGGAAATCGGCCAGAAAAGAAAGTAAAATCAGGGGGTTTCTACCACTGCAAGGTTGGAGAGCTATGACATGAAGGCAGAAATGAATGGGATCAGAAGGAAATTAATGATCCAGCTTAGATACCAAAGAAGGTTTATGGAATTACACTGCGAAAGAGCTGCATTACGGAAGAGCTCCATGGATTCTGAACGGGTTGGAAAATGGGAAACTGCAAGTAAGGAAACTGTCTTCTACTATCTTTAAGGATACATGACTGTGTACCTTGCTTTGAGATAGACAGAGGTGCAATGAGGAAAAAAATCTGACAAATTTCTTCTAGACAGTTGTTGCATGCACCATTATTTTCCTGCACAACTTGTTTCTCTAATTGATCCTAGGTAAGAGATCCCAAGCCATAAGTTCTACAATAAAAGAAGTATCAGCAGGGTGAGAATTAGTTAAAAAAATGTCCTCTTGATATTCAGTGTCCGAAGCACTTTTAAACCACAGATTACCAGAAAATTACAGACATTTTAAAAGTTTTGAAAGTATCTGGAATATGAAAATATTTATACTATTTAAAATGGAGGTTCTAATCTTGCCTTTACAAGTGTACAAAACTATCAAATTAATTTATGTTAAAATACTTTTTAAGCCTACTGAGCAAAAAAAAAAAAAAAAAAAAAAAAAGTTTGGTAGCATAAATATGCATTATTCCTTTTCCAGGATGTTGTTTTTGCTTTTGTGAAAAACAAAACAAAAAAAAACCAAATTTTTTTGTTCATAGCACAGGTATTAAAAGCAAAAGAAACGTGTTAAAATGTTTGCTTGTTTTTTCTACTGCTTGTTAACTGAAGTTAACTAGTACTGACCATCTCCCCCGGGGGACATTAAGAATTCTTTTACTTCTGTATGCAACTGAATATGAGAGAGACATTTTTCCCAGAGAAGATCAAATTATGACCAAGGACTAACAATCTTCTTAACATTCTGGACAGATACCTTTCTTATGTAGCAGCACCCAGAAATTTCAAAAACAGAACATAGGAAACATCACACATTTGTCCCAAAAAGGATGAAGGCAACTCAATAGCCATCTGCAGATCTAAATACCTGCCAGACAGCCAGACAGCAAAAAACGGAAAGCAAAAAAAAATTTATCACCATCCTTTGAATCATAGACAGTTCCCAGAATTTCAGTGGCACTAAAAACTTTCAGTCGTATTTCCATTCTGGCCTCCACTGTATCCAATGGCAGACAAATCCTGGTCTTCCTATAACTAGAAATTTGAACGGTAGTGTAGTGCATACTCACGTTGATGCCATCCCAGGAGAAATCTGTCCGTGTTTGCTAAAGAAAGTAAAGAATGACAGCTCATCAGTGCAACAAACAAGTTGCGAACAGCCAAGCAACTCTAGAAGTTTTGCCATAATGAACAACTGCTACGTTATCTGATATATTAAAAGAACCTTGTGCCTTTCAAGCTGGTTTCATTCCCTCCTGTTGATTATGGCGTCTGTAGGTGTCACAGTGCTTGGAGGTGCAATAGCAGATAGGATGATAGAGGAGGAAAGGGAAAAACACTTTTTCACAAGGCTCCCCTTCCAACTGTGGGCGCTGTACCACTTTGAGGCTAACACAAGGAGGAGCTACACCACCTTTATATTTTAAGTATAATACAGCAAGCAACAGAAGTCTGCTGAAGTTATTTTTTCTTGTAGTGTTTCGGCTTGTCCATTCTGACTCACTCTCCCCTTGCAAACTACAGCCATTCCCTATATCAGCCATCACAGCACCAATTCATAGTGTGTTTCCTTCAGCTGGGAGGACTCACATCTCAACAACTTGGTTTTGGGGATGTGGACACAGGAAAATGTAGATGAGTCAGTTATACCTATTATATCCATTCATATAAATCAAGATGTTCACTGAGGTGTAGTTTATGCTCATTGACTTTTAGATCTGCATTTGATTTAACTGAATCTTCCACACAAGATCGGGCCCAACAATTTCTGCCAGGATTCCATGAAACTTGAAGTTTCTTGAAGTTATATTCCAAGCCAAAGACATATAAAAAGGAAATAAAAATACTGATATATTAATATTTTTTAAGGTTTTGCAAACTGTATGTTATTTTTTAAGGTTATTTGTGAACATTATTTGTAATTCTTCAAATATTATGCATTTAAAATAGCTTTGGTATTTTTATTAATCATCATTGTATGCACTAAACTTTACAAAGCTGAAAATTCAGGTATCTAAGAGTGCAGAAGCTGCAATAATTCAGAACAGCAAATGAACCAGCCCTTGAGATACTGCATGGTAAATCAATTGGCTGGGAGTTACGAGTGAATGCAGCCCTAAAAATCAAAATGTAAACAAATCAAAACATCTTATGGCTATGCTGCAGAAGCTGGGACAGACATAGTGCTGGACATTTCAATATTAATCCGTATTCAAGGAATGCAGACCTACAGGCTTGTGAGAACTGTCACTGTTTATTCCACGTCGTGTTCCACTCCTGTCATGAGTGGTTAAAAAGCACTTTCATTTGCAAATTCTTACTCATTATGGATCTTGTGAAGGAGTGACTCAACTCTATTCAATGCAAGCCAAACTACACAGGTATGAAAGTCTGGTGCTCAGGTGCTCATTGGCATTCTGGTCCTCTCCCAGATGATGCCTCAGTGATGCACAACACGCGTTTCTGACCTCACAGAGAATTCAAATTTTCTGATCCCCTTGGGTAAGTAGGTCTGGGACAGGCACTTACCTCAGTGGAAGGTCGATGGAAGCTGCTGCCGTGCAGTGAACTCGTGCTGTCCATATTGATTTGGTCCACATCTTTCAGTCCCTTCCAGTCTACTGCAATCACCTCATTTCCTGTGGGAACACATCTGGTCAGGCTTCTGAATGCCATCACAATTTGTTCTATCAGTCTTAAGCCAACTCAGCTAAGCAAACAAGAGAATCATTGAGTTTAAGGCCACAATAGCCTCAAATCAGATATTCTGTTTTTAATCAGACATGTACATCATCGACTATTATATTTCTCACAGCTATCTCCATATGAAGACTAGTCACTTGTGTTTTTCTCAAGCATAATGTATGCTTGGTTAAAGCACAGATTCATCCAGTCATGATGTGTGACTGAAAAAGAACCAATTCTTTTGATATTCCCTTCCAATATTAAACCATCATCACTTAAAAAGGCATTTCTCAATTATAATTTTAATTGGTCTGACATCAACTTAGGGCTGCTGGAGCCCTTGCTTTGCCATTCTTAGCAAGATTAAAGACCTTCTTAATACCTGCCATTACATTTCAAATTTTAAATATCAATAACATAAAATACAAATGATAAAATTTAATTAAGATTAAAAAATTAAAGAACATTAAATTTAAAAAGTGAAACTAAATGCAAAGAAGCACACATAAATAGTCAGCCAAGTAACCAGGACTGCTCTGTGCTGTTAGTGATTTATTGTGCCTTCAGCCTTTGTGCCATCCTCAAACTCTGCTTAGAATTATTTGCTGCCATGTCAGAGAGGAACAATTGTACTGTCTTTAAACTTGAGCCTTGCTAGAACCTGGCAAGAAATATAGCTCCCCAAATGATCATTTATTCCTGGGATCAATTCAGCAATGTCTAGTCTATTTGGAATGCCACTGAATGTGAATAGTTCTATTTCCATCAGCTTTTAGCTTTTTATTTACTCTTTATAGCAAATTTCTCCTCCACAAACATATGCAAACTCCCTTGCTCATTCCAGCAGCTCTGCCACATTTACAAAGTTCTCATCACTGCACTTCCCAGGTAGAAATCTTCTGACAGGCAAGAGATGCTGTGCTCCACCCCACATAGGTCTGCACTTATGGGTGGGAAGCCTGAGGCATTTGTCAGCTAAAATTCAAAATGCAAAGAAATAATTTGGTCCCCTAGAAAGGCTAAACATGGCGATATGTAAAATATCAGAAAGCAAATGTTATTTGTATACTATGGTGTCCACCACCCCTTCATATCTCAATTTTCTCCTGTACAAAAATATCTCCTTTCTGAAAGAACTAAGGGATGTTTTTCCCTTCACGTCCAAAGTGTGTTTCTGTTCACCATGATTATTCAAACCAAGTGTTTTAATAGCATCCCCCATATGCTTCTAACTAGGCTGAGTAAAGTTGCAGTTAAAAGAAACTTAACTTAAAAGAAACTTAAAAGAAAAAGGATTCCTGTACTGTATTCTGCAAAGGTGAGCATAGAGGTCAGACACGGACAGACTTCAGGAAAAGGCAGGACACAGGTATGATGAGCATGACAAAGACCACCTCTCAAGGTTATGATCCACTTAACTGATTTTCTTGACAAGCACATGCATACATTTGGACTCACTGAGCTCTTGGTGACTGCACTGCCACTGATCAGAGTGGTAATCTTGAGACTTGGGCATTTTTGTATTCAAGCGAGAGGAGCAAGGTCTTAACAGGCCACTCATGAGTTGCTTATTTCCAGCATGCCTGGAGACCTCTTAGATCTGGGGTCCAAACAAATCTTGCAAGGCTGGAAATATCTCTGGCAAGGGGAAGTGCCAGGCAGAGCTGTGAGAGCCCAACTGACAGTCCCAGGCACATCAGCTGTAAGGTTTGGTTGTGGCTTAGAATGGAATTTGGTCTAAGGAGTAAAGGGGAGAAAAGAAAGGGGCACTGTCAGGAAATGCAAATCTAGGGAGGACAGGTATGGGAAGGAGCAGAGGGGTTGACTGTGGTCAGGTTGAGCTGAGGGATCAACAGAGGGCAGCGGGAGGATGAAACTGGAGTGAAGAGCAGAGCAGGAGCCTGTCCTTGCATGCTGGGATTCAGCTGCCTTTTTCTGTCTGTGCTCCTTCCCTCCACCTGCAACCCTTCACACTAGAATGGGAGAGCTGGGGCATTCCTGCCACAGACCTGACCAGGGCAGGGATGCTGGGGAGGCAGGAGAGATGCCACCTCTCCAGAGCAGAAGGCAGCTGTACAGAAGCCTTCAGTGCAGGTAACAGTGTCACGCCTGTTTTATCTGTTTACTCGAGGTCGTTTCCCTGCACTTGCAGCTGTTTCTGAGCATAACACTGTGGCCCTTCTGTAAGTCTACACAGACATCCTGGCACACACCACAGTCTGCAGCACAGCTCTAGGAATGCACTGCAAAGACACCCCCACCCCTGCCAAAGAAACAGAACAACCTCAGGGAGCCTGGTGCTCAGCACATGTGTCTTGACAGCCCAGAATTTGGCAAATGACACCCAACCTTTGCTCTCGATTCTGCAAGCCCACTAATGGTTTCCTTGAAGTGTTAAGACTGTGGAAAATATTCCAAGAACCACACAATGCTTTGGGTTGGAAAGGGACCTTAGAGATCATCCAGTTCCAACCCCACTACCATGGACGGAGACATCTTTCCCTAGACGAGGTTGCTCAGAGCCGCATTCAACATAGCCTTGAACACTTTCAGGGATGGGGCATCCACAGCTTCTCTGGGCAACCTGTTTCAGTGCTTATCACCCTCACAGTAAAGATTTTCTTCTTAATATCTAATCTAAAGCAACCCTCTTTCAGTTTAAAGTTATTCCCACTTGCGCTATCCTTCTATGACCTTGTAAAATGTCCCTCTCCAGTTTTTGGGCTCCCTTTAGGCACTAGAAGGTGCTATAAGGTCTTCTCAGAGCCTTCTCTTCTCCAGGCTGTATACTAACATTATCCTGGTAGATGGTGGCATCAAATGGTTGAAGAACAATAACATCAAACAATTACTTGTCTCAAAGTCCACACCTGTTCCACAATAGTAGAACTAAAAGCCTACAGAATTTTATTTATGACTGGTTTTCTCCAGCTGAAATAGCTCATCCACCTAGTTCAGGGAAAAGAATGAGTAATACGTGATTTTGCATGCTCCATAAAGACTGAATAATTATTGAAAATAAATTCTTGATCTAAATAGTTTCATAGGTACTAAGAAAGAAATATATATATAGAGAAAATAACTCTTTAACATCTGTTAAATGCTTTTAAATGCAGTAATATCTGCTGAAGAGTTACATCACCACACACTGGCTGAAAAGAAAATCCCTGTGTTCTAACTGGTGTTGGGCCTGGACCAATGTTACTTTATCTTATTGAAAGTTGGATAAAGGTTACTGGGTTTTTTTCTCTTCTGCTAGAAATAGCAAGAGCAACATTAACCCACAGACACGAAAGATCAAGTTCTGCTCTGACAGATGGAAGGAAAAAAACATGGAAAATCAGGAAAAAAAAAGTATGGACAGTGAAGTGGAAAAAGAGAAACTGAAAGCAGTACACTGTACATTAGCATTGTTTTTATCCAACCTCTTGTCAACTTCTTTCTACCATCAATTTGTATGGGTTTTTTTCTTTTGTAATGGTACATTTCTTCTCCAATATAATTTATTTTCTCTTATCCATCTTCCATTCCAGCTTCTGCTAATAATCATGACTAGTCCTTTTGTAATTCTATGATCAATCACCTCTTACAGAATAGTATTTGCTCTTCTCCATATAGAACTGATAAGCATTTTAAAATGAGTGGGCCATAAACCTAATTTTAAAGTGGGATTTTTACAAACGCATGCTATCAAATTTCTCATTTAAATATTCTGAAATGAGATGATGAAAGTTGAAAGATAACTGGGTTTCTGATTTCCTTGTCATTGTTTCTGTATGGTGTGTACAGCAAGGATATAGAGGGAATTCATTTTCATTAAACTCTTAAGAGATGTCTTCATTTTATTTAAAAATTTAATATGTGTTTTGAGGGTTTTAAACATCATAAATTCTGCTCTGGAAGACTCAGTAGATGACTGAAGAACAAGTAGGAAGCTGATTACATGAAGCAATGAGAGAAAACCAAAGCAGTTGAAATACATAAATATATTAAGACATTATGGCAGATCATCGTTGCTTTGTATTTTTTAACATGAATTAGATTAAAAAAACCTCTGAAAAACACTCATCAGAAAAAGGTGTCTCCGTTACAGCTAAAGTAACATTCCAACTCAAGTCATTTAAGTCTTTTGGGGAAAACATCATCCCTCTTTCTCTTACATTACTGTTAAGGTAAAAATCAAGATTTATTTTTAAATCGAGCCTTTCTAAATAATAGAGATGAAAAACACTCAAAAGAGAAAAAAATGGAAGAAAGAAAATACCCTTTTCCCTACTTTTTGTTTTGTGGGTTTTCTGAGCATCACGGACTCTCAGAAACTAGAAAATGTATGTACCAAGTGTTCCCCAAGCAAAGTGACCATTTTGATGAATGCACTGGAAAAATCCAAGAAACCATCTGGATGACTGTATCCTACCTTGCTGATATAGCATAACTACTTTTTTTTCCCTATTTCATTAGTTCATTTTGCCACATACCTTAATTTACCATGGAGACAGAAAATTTCTTAGTTAGACATATTTTCAGTTTCTTTGCATTTCTGTGATCATAAGAAATTCACTTCGGTTCGAATTACTCATTACTTAATCTAAACAAGTCCATTCTCCTTGGGTTTCCTCTTGACATTTTCTCAATTGCTGTTACCACTGTGCATTCGCTGATACTATATTTGGTGCCTGTGCCTGTATTTTGTTCATTTAACAAGGTATACGTTTGAATCAGGCTTCTGCATCTATGACTTTAATCTGCATCTATAGCCTGTAATAATCTGTTGTGTTGTAACTTCTGTGCTGGATATTAATCATCTCCAACTTGTCTTCTCTATTTTGTTCCACACTTAAGTAGATCAGTACAGTTTTAGAGACTTAAATTCTGTTTTTCCCTTTTGGACATCACACTAGTGAAGATGTACACCGTATACCAAATATGTATTTGTGTCATTTGCTTTCTGATG